GCTTAGAAAATCTTTTAAAATGAAACTGTTTTTTTTTTTTTTTTTTAAATGTTGTAGGACCTTATCAAACATTTTAAAATAACACAAGGATATATAATACTATTAATACAAAATATATGTGTATATTAAGGATAAGGGGGTAGAGCTAGAGCTCGAACCTAAGCCATGCAGCCCGAACGTTCCCACTTTAGAAAGATGACAATGCACCGTTCTGACTTGTGGAAAAACTAGTTTGTTATTCTAATATCTTATTAAAAAATGTGTTTTGTAATTTAATATTTAAATTATATTAAATTGTAAAACACCAACTATTAAATTAAAAGCGACTCCATATACCGATAGAGATACCTTATGTTTTTATCCAATGATTAATGCTTTTGCTTTTCAAATTTTAAAATATCAAACATATATTTTATTGTCTACTAAGAAATTTATGACTCTCAATAAGGAGTTAAATGAATAAAAATTTAAAATTTTAAAATAGATGAAAAAAGTGGTTATTATTTGTTATATAAGTATAGGCCAATATAATCATTGGACGTTCAAAAGAACAGAAAATCTTGGCCAGTAGAAGGGCTATTTTCATGCCTAGACAACATTTCTTGGATAAATCCACGCAAGTCTTACGGATCGGGTCACTTTAAAACATGGCAATGGTGCAGCCTGCAACAAAGATCGATGGTCGTGAATTAATGTAACAGATCATGCTGTACATTTGAATAATTATTTAGTACGACAAAAATCTTGATGTACATTAGAATTATTTTGTGGTCTACTTTCCTATAGTTATCCTGCACATTATTCATGCATGTATGAAACATGTGGCTTTTGCATTTAATTTTCTTGAAGAATAACTAGTACACAATAATGATGGCGGTAATTAGCCCTTTGATTGTAGGCTTGATGGTGCTTTAATTTCCTTGATTTATTTGGCTTAGTTGTCTTGCGTATAATTGAGTATCAACCCAACACTTGTCTTTGCTCTAATTATGCCACATCGGTTGGTTTAATATGAGGTCTTCATTTTGTCAGAAAGCAAACATGATTGAATAATGTCTAGTGACACCATTTAATTACTATTTTATGTCTAGAAAAATTGAATATCTTCCTTGAACTGTGTCAATATATATATATATATTTATTTAATTTTGGCAAACGTGTCAAAATACATAAAAATTTGAAATTTTAAGTTAAGCATTTTCATATTTGAATTTCAAAATGGATGAGAGAATTATTGTTTATAATATAATTTATAATGACTAAATATTTATTTATATATAAGTTTATATATTTTA